ACTGTACTTAAGTACAGTAACGAAGTACTTGTACTTCGTTACTTCCCACCACTGACAATTATTTATTTTATTTCGAACATGATAGAAGCACACACACGGACAGGAAGGAATGCAAAAGACAAACGTCTTTCCTTGTTCATGTGTATCAGTTTTGTACCACAATAAATTAAGGTAGCAATTTCTTCTTTGTTTTGTCTTTTCCTATTCTGTCATATTTATTTTTAAACATTTTAATATATAATTGTCTCTCATAGGGATGTCTATCACAACATTGGACCTTTAGATCCAGAAAAACTCAATGTGTTCCGGACAGTTCGGGAAATCACAGGTTAGTACATATTCATCGCCGTATAATGATATGCCAACTTCATCACTCTGATGTTATTCTTTTAGCCTTACCATTTATGGCATTTTTAGGAGAGTTCAGCTGGGTTTGTATGTATGTGTTTGTTTGCTCAAGTCAACCCTCTTCCTTCTCTCGAGACTGTCCACCCCAAGGACAGACAATGCAGCATAAGATGAATATTATATGAGACTTTCAATCTCTTCTGTCTCTCCTCCGCTTCTCCCTTGGGGGCTCTCTAGCCTCGAGTCCCTCAGTCCCTACTCTCCCTTCACGCACTATGAAGAAAAGATCCAGAACATGCGGTGTGCATCGGTAATTGTCCAGCTCTCCTGTGCCGCTGCCACTTTTGAGCTTTGTGTTTGCTGTCATTTTTCCAGCCCAGACATGCAGCAGTGCCAGCAGAACATTACAACCTGTATCTGTGATGTCACCTTCCCTCCTAAAATAAAAACACATATGTGGCAGATCTCATATAGTCTTAGTAATGTTTTCCATCTATCATATAAGTGCGTAATAGGAGAAGCTCAATGAAATAAATCTCAAGCACTTAATATGCAGACCAGGGAATTAAGTGACAGAGTGACAATAAGTCAGATGTTAAACTTGGTTTTCTTAAGGAGTCTGAGTAGACCAGGTTGTTGAGGGTTAAGCTTTAAAGAACGCTCAGAGTGCATTTCTTATGAAGATTACACAAAGTCAAACACGAGAACAGAATGGCTTGGACATTTTTTTTATATTATGATTCTGTCACTTGAGAACTGAAAATGAGACCAAGTATATTGAACATCTTTTCACACTGATTTAAATTGACTGTATGCAGATAAAAAAAACTGCCCCTGTGCTTTGAATTTGACACATTTGATGTAGAGCATTTTAACATTTTGCAAAATAGTAATTTGTCTGTGAAAATCTTCTTCTAAAACGTTTTATTTTCAGTCTCAATTAATCATCTGTGCCGGCAGGCCAAATTACTTACATTCTTTAATTGTGATTAATTGCTACACATGACCCTCCAGAGGGCCAGCAGTGGTACGTTGGCAGCACTTTGGACACCTCCGATTTAGGGATTTGTGCAAAGTAAAATAGTGATAAAATAGTGATCCTCTCAAATGTATGTTCCATCACTATAAAATGTCATAGGAGAATAAGTGTTGCCCTGTTGACAAAAAGGGGTTGTCCAGGGCATTGACAGCAGAAGTTACCTGATAATTTAGGGCACTCGGATTATAGAATAAAAGTGCTCGAACTGAATTGGAATTTCAAATAATAATAATAATAATAATAATAAACAAACATATTACTTTATTTTGAGACTTTAAACTTCCTTAATACTAGTGGCAACCAGGTCGTTAATGTATGTATATTAAAGGTGTGTTTATTTATTTATTCTTAATGTTATTTTTTTTCCCCTTTTTTTGGTGAGTGATGGCTGGTTGAGAGCAGTTGATGAGGCATAAACCTGTGGCCATGTACTTAACATTCGTGTCAGCACAACTTGTCGTCTCCCTGAGCTGTCAAGAAAATATGGCATCTGACAGAAGAAGTCAACCTGGCTTTCTGACCCTTAGGTCACAATAACACCGCCTTAGCTTTCAAATGAGTAGGATGGGGGGGGGGGGGGGCATCTGTTACCATCCACACTCACTCCTTCATCTTTTACTATTCATTGTTATCCCTTTGAACCGTATTTCAATGGATCTTAAAATACGTCCCACCAGGTCAGGTCTTATTCGAAGAGGGCAACAAGTGAGTAATCAAGTTGTGCAATTTTCCATAAGGGTTTATCAATGTTTTGACTCAGAACTGTAATCACCACAACTTAAGCCATCTTGACTTTTAGTTGTGAGCTCCTGGTCCTCTTTGCTAAAAGCCTCCACAGAGCAATTTGCTGTGCGGTCTGGTGCGTTTTTAATGTGGCTCTCAGCATAACATGAGCCACTTCTTCATCTTACAAAATCAAACATAGTCAAAGTTTGAGGAGGCGGGAAATGGACAGATCTATTAGATGACACTGACATAAGATTCTGTGTCTACTACCATTACACAATGCGCACATCAGGACAGGGTGGTAGGAATTAGTCATATAGAAATCACTGTATTTAGGTGCCAATTAGGGGGACGAGTCGGATTCAGCAACTGCTTTGACTTTCATGTGGTATCTTAACAAATATTTAGAGCTCACAACTGGATTTGAAAATGAGCTGATAAACAAATTGTGTCAAATATAAATACCTTTATTAAGATGCCATCATTTAATCTAACTGATGTCACAGTTTTTCTCTTAAGTTATTTAGTTCTACTCGCATACATTCACAAGCAATACATAGTTTATTATCATTTCATTAATAACATGGAATGAAACTCAATTTTTACTCCATTATGGAGGATGCAGATGGAGCAGTATCTTCCTGTAACTCCATGAGGTCAATTGGCATTCAAGATATGAGCCATTCATATCATTTATCTTCATGATCATGTTCCAATTAGATATGCCTGACAAATCTACAGCTGGTGGTGGTCAGGCTAGTGCAGCTAACTGTTGTAAGCATAATACAACTCTGGCACTAGCAGACATAGTAAATGTTAACCGAATTAAATGGAAGGTGCAGAAAATTCCAGAAAAATATTTTTGCTTTCTTTTGCTGCAAATGATTTTTTTTTTTTACTGTAAAATGGAGCGCAAAAGAGAGAGAGAGAAAGAGAGAGAGAGAGAGAGAGAGAGAGAGAGAGAGAGAGAGAGAGAGAGAGCGAGAGCTCTAGAGATACAGATATGTATAACCCCACAAATAAACCAAA